CCAAGGAAAGGGTGCCATATTCCAAAAGGAAGTTTAGTTGCTTGTTACAATTCTTTGATACAGACAAAAATACCCTTAGTCATAGGATAGGTTGGCCCCTCGATAACTAATCAAATATCTACTAACAATCATGCACAAAACACAAGCATAAGCAACCGAGTAAAAAGTGTACTAATGAACTATACAAAATAAGCTAAATCAATGATTTTTAAAAATTTAATTCTTTCCTCAAGCTCCAAGTTACAATTTAACTCCATAACTATTGTAGTTTAAAAGCAGCCACCTGAATGAACTGAACACAGAAAAGCAACCAATGTACAGAAAATAATTGTAATCCTTCAACAATAATATCCATTTTACTTCACGAGAAAGCACAATTTCAAAATAACTACCTAAAAAGGGCATTACCAATTTCAAAGATTGTTAGGACATCTCTACCCAATTACAGAGTCAATGAGTTCACTGCTGTAGCATTAAAATACATGTGAAAAAAAAATAAGAACAGTAAACATAACTTCAACAGACAATAAAATGAGAAAAATGAACAAGCCAAAGAAAATGCATACCATCTCGTTTGACAAAATCTCCAGCCTGGAAAGATATGGAAAAGAACCATTAATTCATGTTAAAGAAAGAATATAACGTTTCTACAAACTACTTGGTTTACGATGGTCAACTTAACAAGTACAACCTTAAAACTACATCACATTAAAAGGATTCTTGACCGTCAGCCCTGTAGCCTACAGCATAAACAAGGGTAACAGACTAAAAGACAGACCACTTCTTAGGCACATTCAGCTAGAAAACATGGCATTCAAGCCAATATAAAAATCGTTATATTAGGGCTAATGGCCATCCATATGTAGACAACGTACCTGTGCCATGGAGCCTTTAATAATCCGATGAAAAAAAGATGCCTTGTAATGTAGTGGTCTTCCAGTTTTGGTACCAATGCCTTTCTCTCCTGCAAATAAAACAAAATATCAGAATATAAAATCAAGTTAAAAATACCAGTAATCCAAAATTACATAAATAGTTATAAAGGAGAAAGGAATGTTGTTCACCATAATAGTTCGATAAAATTTAAAACATTTTATGATCAAGCTGGTATCACCGACATTAGTAATTCAATAATAAATCAGTAGTAAGAAAAATAAGATTGCTAGTCTAACAGATCGGGGGAGAAAATCAGAAAACTCCAGAAAGATCTCACAGGAAATCTTGCTGGATTTTCTCTCCCCTTCCAAATCACTCTCTCCTTGCCGATACATTTTCATTTCCCTCTCCCATACCAAATCAGGAAATCTTACAAATAAGATGATATTGCCCATAACACTACCAACATTATATTCTACAGCCTGATAAGTAATTAATGGTTGAAATAATATGAACAAACAAAAATATAGTGTTTGAATGAAAAATTAAAAGGCATTGATATTTGGCATAAGATCTACCTGTACACAGAGCACGAAAATTCTCGGCTGTTTTTGGAGCATGGTCATAAAAAAGCTGAAAAAAATCAGGCACAAGAAAGAAAAAATTAAATACCAAATCTAGCAAAAACGACAATGTAGTAAAAAAATTAAACACTGGCCACACTGGAAAATGCTAACCCTTTCTTTTATTAACAGAGGCTGAAATAATTATCGTGCACAAACAAGAGCCAAGTACTTAACCCATATATTTGACTGGTGTAAATAGGAAAATACCTCAAAAACCATTTTTTCCCTTGGGTCTCCGTCAATTGAGACATCCAGAAAAACCAAAGGATTCTTCTTCTTCGTCATTTTCTACCTTCTCTTCCTTTAGCTTCAAATTTGCACTACAATCATATACCTGATTTGAGGAGTTGAATGCAAGTCACCACCATACCGTGCTAATTGAGAAATAAAGATCTGAGTAAATGGATGAGAGAAACGAAAAGGAAGAAGAAAAAGTGAAGTGCATAGCGGTGAGAGAAAGGGGTGACTGCTTTAATTAAGAAATGGAGGAATAAAAATAAGAAAAGGTGGGCCAGTTTCTCATGAGTCATACAATACTGATAAGAACTACAAACTAAATAGATTATCCTGCACAGTAAAATAGAGCCTCTGATGGTTTAGGGGACCATATTAGAATAGACAAAAAGTTCAAAAACCAAAACAGGGTTTAATTATTAAGTACTTCATTCCATACTTTCTTTCCACTCCTTACCAAAGCAACATGGACATTTTCATCCCAGGTCGGAACATGTTTCATGAAGGGGTAGATAAATGAGCAAACATAATTATACAACCACGATACATATAAGTACTTGAACCATCACAACCCAACCAGAATTAGCTTTCCGTCGAAAACTAGTACGAAATAGCTATGATCATTTAGACAATTAAATTACCATCGCATAAGGAAGGGACAAAAGCTAAAATTGTCAAATTCAAGCAGGAGGAAGAATAATTTGACTTAGTTGCTTTTGCAAAATGCATTAGGAAATCTTAACGAACCCACAACCATTCATGACAGAACCTTAAAACGAAATCGAGAAGAAAATATTTACCAAACTTGAAGCAAATAAGGAGCAGCCATCCATCAAAGTGAAAACGACGCAAAACATACACATAAATATTCTATATGCTCCCTCACAAGAACCAAATCAACCAATGACTAAATTTCAGTACCCAAGGACTATAAGATAAATCAATATACCACATACTGAAATAGCATAAAATTTCAGTGCAAAACCTTAAACCCTAAATAGATTTGACATTCTACATACGAAAACGTGCAGATAAACAGTACTAATCGTTCAAGCTACAGATTAAATGAACCTTAATCAGTTAATGAAAACAGTTTAAGCATACAGCCTGATGCATACAAAATACTCAAATTGAAGGGCCGAACAATAAACTTACCCAGGCCAAAATGAAAAACAGTTCGAGATAGTTAAGAAAAAACACAGATCAACGAACAATCGCAAACAAACGTCAACAGGTTACAGATTGAAATGTGGGAACCCTAAAGTCACCTGATAAACGCAGAACCACGGAATAAAGTGAACCCCAGATGAGAGTGAAGCCTCGTAGAGGTGGACGCAAGTGTAGGTTAATATAGAAGAGGGTCGAGATGCTTGCACTGAGTTCCTCCTTTTCTAATGGATTAGGCTTTGGTTTCAGGTGAAGCGACCCAGTGGTAGAATACGAATTCATCGCTTTTGGGCTTCTGGGATTTTGGGCTTATAAAAGTGGGCTTTTTTGTATTTTACGGCCCATTCTTAAAAATATAAATAAAATACCATTTATAAAGTAGCAATTGAATAATGATATTGTTTTTACGTGATCAAACTTGGAACGAGCATGAAGAAATTAACGATACTTCTTTTATCTTTTGAGTTGTTCTGCCGGATCGGTCGTTCAAGACCTTTGGTCTCTATCTGGACCCGATGAAAAAAATGGGATCACTTCTTATAGACTCGTTGAGAATGATTCTGATCTAGTTCATGGCCTATTAGAAGTAAAAGGCGCTCTGTTGGGATTGGGATCCTCACGGACAGAATAAGAGTTACATAAATGAATAGATATCACAGTTAGACGAGTGTGATTGTAACAATGTGATGGTTAAAAATGCTTAAAATAATTTACTATTGCTATCTATGTCACTCGTTTTTTTTTTTTTTTCTTTAGGTTAATCGTATGAACTCAAAAATTAAACTTTTTTTACTTTGAATAATTTCGTGTTAGGTGACTTTCGAAAAAAAAAATCGTATGATGCATGTCAACAAGGAAAAAACATGTTTAAAGAACTCCGCTCTTATAAGTACTTCAAGGCAGATAACTAATGTGGTCTTGTCGTAGAATATGCAAGGAATGTTGAGGCTATTAGACGACGATTTGAATTCCAAAACTTATATAAAATATTTTGCATGAGTCGTTACATTTAGTATTAGAGTGGAATCTCTCTCAGTAAAATATAGTTAAAGAATGAATGCACAGGAAAATTAGTAGGCATGTGCTCCTAGTAAATGAGAGGTGCATGAATGAACTGATACCATGGCTAGAGATGTCTATGAGATGTGGCGGGGATGGGAAAGATCGCATGCTTCGATTTCCATCCCTATAAAAATTTATGTTTATTTTTGTAGAGATTTTTCACAAAAATTTTTGCAAATATTAGATAATATAATACCCATCGTCCATCTCATTCTCTACCCACTCCCCCCGTCCAAACGAATAATCTATGCTCATTTAGGATGGGTTCGTGGTCAGAGCGATTCGGTATTAAATACTTTTTTTATTTTTGCTTAATCATAATGATTTAAAAAACTAAACGTGTTTGACTGAGAGTAATTATATGTTTGGCGACTTCATATGCATTTTTGTAGGAAACACTTGAGTTGTGAAAAAAATAAGTTGAAAATGACTAATATTTGTTTATGGCGTAATATTCACTCTTAAAAGCACGTATATATTTTTGTTGGAATATTATTTCCATTGGTATGAAGACTTTTTGGAAAGCTCAAAGCAAAGATTTGAAAGCATATGCTTAAAGTGGACAATATCATACAATTGTGAAAGGCGTGTTCATCTAACATGGTATAAGAGTTATGCCCTAACTTAACAATGTGAATAGAATCCTCAAATGTCAACAAATGACTCTAAAAGGAAAGTAGCAGACATAGTAAAAAATGACTAAGACTCAAAAAGAAAATGAGTCAAACCTCGATTAAAGGAGACATATTAAAGCTATGAGAGCTTGTACTCAAAGTGGACAATATTATATTATTGTGGAGAGTCGTGTTCGAGGGCATTTGCAAGTTTTGTTATTTTTTTATTTATTTAAGCACAACTTCAACCTCTCACTTAAAAAATTATAGGTGATAATTAGTGTGAAACTATACACAATTATAAATAGTTGTACAGTGACATCTTTAAATCACCCGCCCGAGCGCGCACGTGTGTATATATATATATATATATATATATATATATATATCTCAAACAAAGTAGGTTTGAAAACAAGGAGATATAGCATTTTTCCAAATAAAATGTCTCACCATCTACGGTAGCCCGAGCCTGACCATTTAGCGCAGGACGAGCAAAGTTACCAGACGTAAATGGAGAAGGCATTTCCAAAGCAGCAAGACGAACATTGGAGACTCATTGGATTCTTCAGCGGCATTGGTGGCATGGTACTCTTTTCGCCTATGCTTCTCTCTGTATCCTTCTCGATCTCAGGCGTATATCCTACAGAGGCTTTGTTGCGATTTCAATTATAACAGAGATACTCTCTACTGAGTGCTGGCGTCGATGCGAAAGTAGTACAAGCTTTTGATATCAAGGATAAATCAAACGAATTTACGAGCATAATTTCGGCGATCGTCCGCATCAGGTACGATAGAATCATCTTCTTCTTATATCGGTTTGAGAACGCCTTGCTTTCTACCGTATGAATAAGTATTCGGTGCTTCTCAATGAAAACATTGAAACTAGTTTTCCTTCAAAATCGAATGCATATTCTCTTCAGTTGTGGTTTAAGTAGATTGAATTTGAGGATGTTGAATGTTGTCGCCAAGCTTATTTAATTAGTGAGGAACTACCTCCTGGATACTGATGCACGTATGGTATGATAAGCTTTCAATTTACAGCTAGTATGAATTCACAATGTGAGCGGACAGTAGATAGGTACATGAAATGTTTTTGTTGGAGTATCTGATTCAAATGACTGGCGGTGTGGACTTTCTTTTGAACTGCCAAAGTAAAAGCGTTCTACAATCTTCTCAACATCGTCTTCTTCTTATTATTTCTTGTTTCGAGAACGATTATGTTGCTTGTCCATCGCAGGAGTAAAGTTTTGCTGCTTTTCAATACAGATAACGGAACTATTTTGTTCATTCAGAATTGAGATGCCAATTCTTTTCTATCGTGGATTTAGTAGATTGAATTTGAAGTTATCGAATGTTGAAACATAGCTTATCTATTTTACCTACCCCTGACTGATGGACGTATTTGTTAAGTGATTAGATTACAATTTGAAGCTCGTATGAACTCTCAACGTAGTGGAGAACAAGGCGTCATGCCATTTAGGAACATGTAACAGGTTATTCACAGCTTCCTTTGCATAGGAGTGTCGGTTTTTTCTTATGAGTTTAGTTATGGTTAAAGCACCCTACGTGCTTGGTCAAGCTACTGTAAAGACTCAGAAAGCAACAGAGAGCTACAAGAAAGAGGCAGAACTTGAGTCTAAAAAACGTATCATGGAGAGACCTTGAATTCTGCAGTGTTATTGGTGGTGTGATAGCTCTCATTTGAATGAGATTCTAGTTTCCTTAGTCCTTGGATCTGTCATCTAATTTGGAGTCTGGACGTTTAGGATACTAAAGTAATTCTTATATTTTGCATGCATAGCTTCCTATGGATAGGAGTGTCATCTTTTTCTTGTCGGTTAGTTATGGTCAAAAGTAACCCATATGCTTGGTTGAGCTACAGAAAGAAAAAGACCGCTACAGGAAAGACTCAAAACTAGAGCCTAAAAAATGTACCATGGAGAGTGTTTGAATTCTTCAGCAACATCGGTTGCATGGTCGGTCTCATTTGAATTCTCATTTTTCCCAACTATATAGGTTTGCCATACTTTGTCCTTGGATCTGTTATCTAATTTGGAGTTTAGTCGTCTAGGATGCTGAAGAAATTCTTATATTTCATGTCCATTTTGGTCCTCAGAGGTTAGACACCTCATTTTGTGTATCGTTTTTGTTAGGACTGCACAACACATTTTATGCTTGTACGTCATGCATGTTATAAATTGGAAGTAGATAATTGTGCACCATATAATTAGGTCTACAAAAGCATTCCAGCGAGGCTCGGGCATTTTCATTCCTCAAAATTCTTGAGTTGGTGCTACAAACATAAGGCCATCGGTAATGTTATTCATGGAAAATGTTGGATTTGAAGTATGTTTCTTGATCTTATCTGTGTGCTGGAACTTGTTTGACTGATTCATCATCATACTTTAGATGCTTTCCTTTTTGTTGTAGACATCTGACACACATACAAAAATGGCTGATAGATTGGAAAAAGTTGATTTTTCTAGGCAGGAGTTCATTTTAAGCCCAATGCATTGCCATGATTTTTCTACAAACATTGTCATGCAGCTGTACAACATTGAACATATAAAAATATAACCCCGATTTACGCTCAGTTTGTGAACTGAAGTTTCATGTCATAATATGGATCTACCTTATTATTTATCTGTGCATTGTGTGTTTCAAGGTAGATTTTATCGTTCGTTTCTAAATTGGCTACCACTAAAAAGAGGGCTTTCTTACTTACCTAAGCTGTAGGTTCTAAATTTATATGGCATCCTTCTACTTTTGCAGGCTAAAAGGAGGCTTTTATCCTTTCAAAGGCAATCATACAATAATCAACTTCTTTGGCGCCCAGTCCATTACTCGAGAATGATGTTGACTTAGAAATCATTGAGAATCGTGTGATAAGTTGCTGCTCTCTTGCGAGCCAATATGTAGGTTTCTTGAAAAATCCAACCATCAGAGCGTGTTTAGTTTTCCTGATTCCAGTAGTATTCATAGAGAGGGTGCACTGGAGAATACCAAGGATGCGACGAGCACGACAATGGATCTTTTGATCACTATCTCGTCTCGTCCAGTTTGATAGACAAATGGGACAGTGTTATGGGTATGAATGTTGTCTTCTTTGGGCTTTCCCTTTCGAGCTTTTCCTCAAGATTTTTAAAACGCGTTTGCTAGAGGGAGTTTCCACATTCTTATAAAAAATCCTTCATTCTTCTCCCCAATCGATGTAGAACCTCACAGCTATCGTATGATCAGTATTGTCTCATCACCAGAACTCACTGTTGACTATGGATTAGATTCTTTAGAGAGTTTAGATATCGTATGTCTTGATTCAAGGTGATGCTTTGTTTTACAAAAAGCGTCAACCGATACGTGAACGGCATTGGCTTGCTTTTGGCACCTTTTAAGGTAAAATTTTATCCTTAGCCATGATTTTTTTTACTATGTGGTGGTGGTGCAATAGAGAGAATTTTTCCTGAACGTGGAAATGAAGCATGATCCAAACTTGATGCTGTATGTTAAGTAGTAAACATCAATCGTCTATTGTTATCATATTTAGATTTCATTTTTGGTTAAAATTTGATCTAACATGGTGATTTCAATTCCCCCCCTCTTCTCGTGTTGGGCAGCAGTGATGTTCTAGGATTATAACACATGCCGCTTTTCTGGCACCATTATTGAACTCTTGTCACACTGACTGGTAACGCAATGCAGGCGGAAATGGTGGATAAGGCTCATTCTCTGAAAGAGGCGCGACGCTCAGATATTGTACTCCTCTAGAGAGGTGCATGATGATTTTATATTAAGATAGTTCTTGATTATATCTCATTTTCAAGCTGATGACGTTCATTAATCCGTAGCTTTTTTTAATGAAAAATACTAGGTTGCTAACTTGCATTTCTTTCCGGAAGATTTTCAATTTCCACAGCATATTGGCCCTGGGCAACGGTATGAATCTTCGTTCTTTTAACAAAATTTCTTTAATGTACTTTTCACGTTTGAATTCCTAACTAAACTAAAGAAATAGAAACAAAAAGTTGAAAAATATTTATTTAAAAAAATTCAAAACTAACCTTTCATCTCGTATTCATTTGGAACTAATAAATTCAACTAGATATTAAACACAAGATAAGTAAATGGAGAATAAAAAAAAATGAAAAGAAAAAAGGATTCTAGAAGGGATTATTCAACTTCCTAATCTTCGCTACCAGAAAAATACTCATTTTCATAGCCTTTGATGCCAGAAAAATTCTAAATTCCTTTTCTTGTTTTGAAATAATAAAATAATTATTTATTAAAAAATATTCATCTTCCTATCCTTCGGAACCCAGAAAATTTTCAAATTTCTTTTCTTTTCTTGTTCTTATTTTGAAATAATAAAATAATTAGTTATTCTTGGTTCCATTCGTCAAAACATTTCAATTTTTGTTAGATCATTAAATTCAGTTTGAAAATTAAGAACACTTTAAAGAAGGTAGAATTTACAAGTTTAATTTTCAAAAACTAAATTACAAGTTTAATTAAACCAGATAGATATCTGTAGCCGATTGATACCTTGCCCTGCCTATAAGCAGTTTTGAGATTTTATTGATGATTCTCGCCAACTGTTTCAACTGTTCAAAATTGCCACATACATAATAGAAAAATGTTTAATATCACCTTTTGCCTTGGGTTTTTCTTTGCAGCCATGCATTGCTAGGGAACAGTTTACGCATAGCCGTTGCTGCTCCCTTGCTCCGATACCTCTTTGCAGAGACATCTGGATTTACATGCTCTCTTTTCTAAAGCCAAGACCACATCAATTGGGACAGACCATGAACTAGCATTGTTCTCTTTAGATATTTTGCCCTTAAATGTAGCATCAAATTTTCTACTAAATTATCAAAACCATTTTAGCTGTCGGAGAGTAATTTGTTTTACCTATTTAGTTGACAAGACAAAAAGTGCTAATGGTATTCATTTATCAAAATTTAATCGATGGCAGTAGTAATATATCAAACCAAACCTACTATGTCCAATTATATAGTGAATTACACAACCAACAACCGACCTCAATAAAGAACCACATAGGTCGGCCTTCCAAACTCCAGAAAACCACAACCACAAACCACACCATAAAACCCTAAGCAGCAAAGCCAAGTCGGTTGAGATAAAGCGCTTCACTCAAAAGCGTCGTCGTCTTCATCAGGAAGAGGTTGTGCAGCAGCTTGTGCCAACTCTGCTTCGTGCCTAAAACACAAAAATAGTCATTAGTGAATGTCTGAACTACTTGACTTAGACTTACTTCAAATATTCTTACAAGTCAGTTGGGTAAACCCAACTATATTAAAGAAAACTTATACGATAATAGTCGGAAATTATTCTCTCTATGTATTTTATTATTTAAATTATTCTACCTAGATATTAGTCCAAGGTCAACCTAGAATAATTCCCATGGATCGTCATTTCCCTTTCTAAGCTAGAAGATGGTAAGCACTATGGACTTTGAAGCCATGTCAGAACACACCCAAAACTCACATCAATAACCTAAATATATTGGCCAGCAAGATTCTAAGTGCAGGTGTGACGGAGGCACAGGTTTAAAAATATTTATCAGGTAATAGCGGTAACTTACTGTGCTTGTTCCGCCAAGTTAATTTCGACTTCAGGAGGGGCAAGGGCAGGTGATTCGACGAAGTGGAGCTCCGTATTCCTGCACGTTCCGATAAAAGAGGAATTTGTTTGTCAAAGAGTCAGCCAATGAGACTAATATGAAACTGATGGAAAGACCAACCAAAACTATAAAAAACTAACGATAAGAACAACTGAACATACCCAGCAAGCTTTCTAGCAAGATACAAGAAGGGCTTCTCAAAGTTGTAATTACTCTTTGCAGAGATTTCGTAGTACTGGAGATTTTTCTTCCTGTGGAAGGTCACCTGCTTTGCTTTAACCTGTCTGTTTTTCACATCGACCTTGTTTCCACACAACACGATGGGTATGTTCTCACAAACCCTGGTAGGTACAGAGCAATGCCAAATTTATAACCAGCACAACACAATAGACGAATGTTCAGTTATTTTTTCTTTTCTGTTTTGAAGTTCATTTTATTTTATATTTTTAACTTTGTTTTCATGCACTAATTATTTTCCTTCATTTTACACATCAAAAGTTAAAACAATTGTACATATAGAAAGCAACAAATCTCATTCTGTTAGTAACTTTCTTTTTTCCCAAGAGGCCACTAGTGGGGAACCTCTTAAAAATGTCCTTGTAAGAAACACAAATTTCAAACTAACATAAAAAAGCCAGAGTTTCAAAGTGTTTCAGAGCCTTTGGGTTAGAAACACAGTACCTGCAGAGATCTCGGTGCCATGTTGGGACATTTTTGTACGTTAAACGAGCAGTGACATCGAACATGATGATGGCACACTGTCCATGAATACTGAATTCCAAAAGAAAAAAAAGTACAAAGCAAGTAATAATTAATATAAATGTAGGACAGACATGGAAAATGAATCAATTAATCAAAGTCACAGCGCCTATCAAATTCTAAGAGAACTGAAGGTAATTTGAAAACTACATTGTATCTATGTTCGAACATATTGCAACAGTAAACTATAGATTCAACATTTCAGTCTAACGATAAAAAAATATTAAAAATACCATATGAAAAGGTTGATAAGATAAGAAATACTTCTGTTCTCCAGAGCTTGTGAGCATGCAAAGAGAAGTTAAAGCTGGACGCATAATATCATAGTAAAACAATGTCTTTGTCACAATAGTTCAGTAACGGACTTGCAATATTTATACAAAATTTTAGAACAAATCAATTCAAACCTAAAAGTGTTCACCAAACACTTGATTAATAAAGAACAAATGTAATTTTCTATAATATTTTTCCTCGTGTTCGTGTAACAAAATGAATAAAATTAGAAAAAAAAAATCGATTACATGATCTAAAGTATCAAAGAGCCAAGACTAAGTTATAAAGCATGCTTTCTATACAGAAGAGCAGATAGATGCTTAAGACTTCTGTACTAGTAAACCAGGTTGAACACAGCACAAATGAACAAACTACACGGAAGAACACCGCTTCAATAATATATACCAGCATATTCAGATTAAATCATTGCCGTGATCGGAACACATTTGAAATTACACATTAACACTTACTAGTAACCATCTCTAAGTCCACCAAACTTCTCCTGACCAGCGGTGTCCCAGCAGTAAAACCTTATCTTTCCATAGTTCGTAAAGAAGTCCAGTGGATGAACTTCAACTCCGATTGTCGCTATACATAATCAAATCAGGACAAATATTAGTAGTGCTTCAACCTTACAAATATCATTTATTAAACGACGAAAAATAATCAACCACATAATTCATTCTTACGTTCATATTTCTTCTCGAACTCTCCAGTTATATGACGTTTAACAAAGGTTGTCTTCCCTGGATCAGGACACACTCCTCCGTTAGAGGTTAATAACATCATTGCAATGAACAAATATTGTAAACAGAGTAAGGCATAGATCCTAATCACAATACACATGAAACATTGAAACGCCTTCCAACAGAAGCCTAGTCCAGTAACCTGTATTGGCAACATCTCCGATTGAATTCATACGCTACGAACGGAGAAATAATACAAATTCTATTCCGCTAAAGAAGACTGGATTCAGTAAAACCTGAGGAGCAGCATCAGATAGTTCTAGTTCCTATAGCTATGCATGCAAAATACCATGGCAAATTGAGCATGAAAAGACATCAAGAAAACGAAACAGAAAAATCTATCTCCATACCTGTTCCACCGTCTCCGACTATTACAAGCTTGAAGCTAGGGTAATCTACGGTGGCCTGACTCGGCAGCGCCTGAGCGAAGGAATGAAACCAAAATTAAGTAGAAGCATCGAAAATGTCGAATACTAGACTGAAAGAGAAAGCAGAGAAAAGAAATCTTACCATTGACAATGAGTATCTGCACCTGAGAATGAAGGAATGAAGAGAACTGCGTAGAAATTTAGATGAACAGAGGTCGGCAATGGAAAGCAGAACGCAAGCACAGTGTAAACGACGGTCGTGGGAGGCATTTTATACCCCGCGTGATGGGAAGGGGTTCGACTTTTATTCGACGCGATTTTCTCCACCCTTGGATTGAACTCCCGCTTCAAAAGTCCGCTTGAATTTCAGCCCTACACGTGGCGACGATATTGTTGACGCGTGGAATGTTGTGTTATTTGGGCCTGGGACTGGGCCTGGGCAGCCACCCGCCAAAATTGAGTCTGGGCCAAGTAACTTGGGCTTTGAATTTTAACCTTTTTCCCCATTTTTAAACCCATCGTGCAAGCTCCCCATTGATGAAACAAGAGTTTTTTTTTTTTATCGACTGAGATCCCACATTGGTTGGAGAGGAAAATTTATATGAAGGTGTGGAAACCTTTTCCTAACTAATGGTTTTATAACCTTGAAGGGAAGTCCATAAGGGATAACCAAAAAAATGACAATATCTACAGGCGGTGAGCTTGGGCTGTTACAAATGATATCAAATTGACAGTTGTGCCAAAGAGGAGGCTGAGCCTCGAAAGGGGGTGGACATGATACGGTGTGCCAACAAGAACATTGGGCCCTGGAAGGAGTAGATTGAGAGGTCCCACATCGATTGGAGAGAGCGAGAAAGACAATATCAGCTAGTAGTGGGACAATATCAGCTAGTAGTGGGCTTGGATGCATTGTAAAACCTTGAGCGAAAGCCCAAAAGGCCGGATTGGGGGTTTAACATCAATCGGAGAAGGGAACATAGTGAGAATGCTGAAGGGGGTGGATTGTGAGATCCTACCTCGATTGGATGGGGTAAACTGAAGCCTAGAAGGTAAAAGCCTAAAACTCAAATATGAAAGTATTTAACTATGGACTTGGACAGTTACCGTCATTTTTAACCTATTAATCTTATTTTAACGGATGATTTTAATTTCCAAAAAAAAAAAAAACCTAATAATTATAAATTTAAAATTTCATTTTTATAGAAAAGAGCTTTTCAAAGGAATATTTATTATAATTTTATATTAAAAAAAAGGTTTAAAATGTTATTTTGTAATTAAAAAAATAAAGGAAAGAAAAAAATTTTAAATGAAAAATGGAAATTGTAATTCATTAAACAGTAAGAGAAAAATCGATTTAACTCGATTTTTTAGCACATCACAATTACAGAAAAATGGTCCCCCCTTAAAATCACACTATTATGTAGAAAAGCCCTATCCGCATAGAAAATCATTAATTATATATCGTATATAAATATCTATATATATATATATATATATTTATAAATTATTATTTTCTTCCTCGAACGCTCAACAATTTCACCTTATCGAGCACCGGCCCACACAGCGACGAGAAATCATCGCTTCGCATGGTGTAGAATGTGCTCAGGAACATAATACGTGTTCTTTTCGACTCCGCCACGAATTTCAGCGCCGCCGGTTTCGATCCGCCGTTGCCTTTTGACTGGTACGGCACTTTCAGAGTGTTTTTACCGGCGAACGCTTCGACGACCATGGATCCTTCGCACGAGTTGCTCGCATCGCCGACAACAAACGAAAGGATGTATATTCTCCCCGGAACCGTACGGACGACCTGAGCTATTGCGCTTTCTTTTCCGGCGACGAGCTCGACGGCGCGCTTCCCGCTGGGGACGGAGAAGTGATCGGAATCGATGTATTTAACGGCCTTGAGAGACTCCACCATCCAGCCGGGGATCGGAGAGTGGTCGTCTTCGATGTTGGGTGGGACCA